GACTCGCCTCCTGGCATGGTTGGACGTTCCACTCCATTGTCCCAGCTGCACCGCCTGACCACCAGGTCTCTCTTCTCAGCTTGTTCCCAGTGCCCCGTCTGGGCCCTGCGTGGTCCCACGGCCCCATTCCCCACGAGGTTGTGTGAAATCTCTTGGAGACTCACTGCCTGAAAACTTGCACCTGGAGGAACTCACATTGCTGTCTCCATGAAGAGGGACAAGTATACGGGGGCTTCCTACAGCGGGGGTTCCCTGAAGGTGGGACTGTTTTGGTTTCATCATCAGTGTTGTGTCTCCAGCACAGGGCCTGGCACGTAGCAGCTCAATTTATCTTTTCAGAATGACGGCGAATGGACAGTTTTCTTTTCCTTTTGGCTGTGGGCAGAAGAGGGGGCCGCGAGCCGCAGCTCCACCCCGCCAGCTGGGAGGACTTGCCCGGCTCTCTCTTCTCCTTCTCCCTGCTCTAGTTGGAATTTTCCCCAGCCTAGCGTTGTTTTCTTGTTTTGTTTTGGTTTGGTTTGGTTTTTTTTTTTTTAAATTGCAGGAAAATACACATAACATAAAATGTAGCATTTTAACCACTTTGCTCTGTGCAGTTCGGGGACATTTAGCAGATCCCCAAGGTTGTGTAACCGTCGCCATGCTCCAGTTCCCGAGTGTCTGGCTCAGGGATTTCCTAGCGTCTTCTCACTTTAATTCTTCACTGTACAGTTTCCCGAGAACCACCGCAAATCCTCATGGAGTGAGACAAGATTTCCACCAATGAAACACTGAGTTTAAAGTATTAAAGTTGGGCTCCTTCAAACCTGTGGCACTCCTGAAAACTCACAGGGATACGGGGTGGGTTGAGGGTTCCTGGGGCAGCCTCCACCCCTCGTGTTGTCTTTCTATATTCTGGCAGCCTAGGAACTCCTTCCATAGATATCACCGAACCCTGCGGGCTCCTGTTCTCGGAGGACCGTCCGTGGCAGCGGCATGCCCGAGAGCTGCTTCAGCCTACAGATCCTCGCTTCCTCGGGCAGCACACAGCTCTGTCCGCTGGGCTCTGTGCCCTGGTTCTGTGGTTACAAACAACGGGTGCTCAGAAGAGCCATTAGGAGCCTGCATCCCTGGAAAGGTCTCGGGCCAGGGCTTATCCAAAGGGACCCTCGTGGAGCCCCGACAGCAGCTGTCCGAAGGGCAGCGGCTCCCATCTTCCCGCCGTGCCCAGGCAGTCGTCTTTCTCCGCTCTTGTCCTCCTCCTGGCGGTGCCTTTGCCAAACCCTGAGTGGAAACATCTGGGTCACTCCGGCTGGCTCTCAGGGCTGGGATTCGAACACGGTGATTTCATCCTCAGCCACAGCGCAGGCTGCCGCCGGTCAGCACGCTAGACGTGGGCTGCTGTTCTCCACACCGTCCGGCAGTGCTTGGACTCATGGTGGCTCCCAGGAACAGGAGGAAGAGGTCAGTGAACCGGTGAAGCCCTAGTGGTGAAGAGGCCCTGCACCTTGCCGCCCACTGGTGCTTTGTTTTAACCGTGACCTGATTGTCAGTGCCCAGGAGGCTGGGCTCCGTCAGGCCTGGAGGAGCACACGGCCGAGAGAAAACCCCAGGCCACTGCCTCCCCACCAGACCAGGCCCCCGACCGGGCACAGCGTCTCCAGGCCAGAAGGCCACGTAGGCCAGAGGACCCTGGGCATTGCCTGTCTACTGTCCAGCAAAGAGCCTCGGTCAAGGAAGGGAAGGAGGTCACCCTGTGGCCCCCGAGCATGGGGCGGGGCCGGGCCGCACGAGGGCATTGGGCTCTGTTGACCCTGTCGCATCTAACAAAGCTGCAGACCGGGACGCTGGGGTTCTCATCTGACGGTGACCTCAGGCTCCTCAGTTGTGAGCTGGGAACACTGAGTCCCCTCCCTCTGGGATCACGTGAGGCGGGAATGTTTGGCATTCTGGGATTTCGCAGGTCTGGCACCCCAGGGAAGTTTCACCAGGCAAGACGGTTGTTAGATGGAAGTGGGTGTGAGCTCACCGTGCACACCTGGGCCACCGGAAGCCACATTCACAACCTCAAGGGGAACTCTGTGGGCAGAGCTGGGCCCATGCCACTGGTCCTGAGGCAGCAGGAGCCAGAGTGGGTTTGCTGAAGGAACCCACTGGCCTTAGCAACACCCCTCGCGGGAGGTGACGTGGCCTCAGCAGCAGGACTATGTAGGGAGCGCTCTTCTCTGAAAGGTTGACCTGACCCTGAGTCAACCTTTGGGGGTGCCACACAGGGGAAGGGGGACCCCGCAACAGGACAGGCTGCCAGGCACTGGCTCTGGCCTCCAAAAGTCAGCGTCATAGGGAAACAGAAGATGGGCATGTCCTGGCATAAAATAGATTCCGAAGCTAAACCAGACACACCAGGTGCAATCACTCACTGCCTCAAAAATAAGCACAAGGGACCGTTTTGAACAATTAGGAAATTCACATGTGGACTGGATCCCAGGGGATGGGAGGGGATGGGAGGGGATGGGAGGGGATGGGAGGGGATGGTCAGGTGAACAGTTAGGAAATTCGCATGTGGACTGGATCCCAGGGGATGGGAGGTGAACAATTAGGAAATTCACATGTGGACTGGATCCCAGGGGATGGGAGGGGATGGTCAGGTGAACAATTAGGAAATTCGCATGTGGACTGGATCCCAGGGGATGGGAGGGGATGGGAGGGGATGGTCAGGTGAACAATTAGGAAATTCGCATGTGGACTGGATCCCAGGGGATGGGAGGGGATGAGAGGGGATGCTCAGGTGAACAATTAGGAAATTCACATGTGGACTGGATCCCAGGGGATGGGAGGGGGATGCTCAGGTGAACAATTAGGAAATTCGCATGTGGACCGGATCCCAGGGGATGGGAAGAGATGGGAGGGGATGGTCAGGTGTCTTGGGTGCCAATGCTGTGGTTCTGAAGGAAACCGTCCTTATTTTCAGGAGAGGGATGTCCGCCTGTTTGGAGGTCAAGTTTCAGGACGCCTGCAGCTTTCTTCTAAGTGGTTATGAGACCAGAAAGGAGGCAGGAGGAGGAGGAAGACACGAAAAGAGGAAAAGAAAGGAGGAGGGAACAGGAGCAGGGCGGGAGGAGGAGACAGAGACGTCGGTCAGAAGGCCAGTCCAACTGGGTGGCTGGGGACATGAAGTGGAGGGACAGTTTACACACTGTCTGGACGGGGTTAAGGACCCGAGACAAACAGGATGCCTGCAGTGTTAGTGACAGTGGGAGCCACGACTCCCACCCACTGGTGTGAAGAAGGAACAGGGAAGATTCTGGGCTCCAAGAGGGCAGTTCTAGGCAGAGTCCCTTGAGAGGAGCTGCGGCCTCCAGCTGAGGTGCCACATCCCTGGCCATGCTGTAGAGAGGGAGCCAGGAGCAAACGCAATGAGTGCACTGTGGAATCCAGGTGGTGGCCGTATGGGTAATCATAGTTCTATTTTTTCAATCTTTGCTTAAAATGTTGAATGTTTGAAAATTTTCATAATAAAAAAAAAAATGGAGCCAGGTGTGGTGGCATGCACCTGTAATCCCAGCTGCTCGGGAGGCTGAGAAGGAAGGATCGTTTGACCCCAGGAGGTGGAGGCTGGAGTGAGCTGTGATTGTACCACTGCACTCCAGCCTGGATGACAGGGCAAGACCTTTTCTCATTAAAACAAAAAATGAGGAAGGGATGAGGAAGCAGCCCAGAAAGAAGAGAGGTGAAAGCAGACCCCAAAAAGAGCTTCTGGAGCAGCGGCCCCCAGGCAGAGACAGAGAGACAGCCACTCCCCCAGGGAGGATGGCGCAGGTTTCCAGCTCTGGGAGCGCTGTGTACCCCCACATGGGGCCTCCCAGGAGCCTGGGACCTTCACAGGCAGGCCAAGGGCTGGCTCCCCCAGGGAGCCGAGCAGGCATGTGTCTGGGGCACCCAAAAATAGGTAAAATATGAATAAAAGAGGCTTCTGGGGAAAAAACAGGGACAAAACCAAGCTGTCTTGGACAAGTTGGAGTGTGTTTCACAGTTCAGCACTGTTTCACTGGGATTCCATGAGCGTCGGGGGTGCTCCATGCTTGGCCTCCTAAGCAGCCTCTGCCAGGCCCAAGCGCCCATAGCAGACATTGGGCACAGACCCGCGCATGGTTCGCAGCAGGTTGGACGCACCAACCCTGTGGCCGTCACACAAACACAAGAAAACCCAGGGCCCAGACAGAGGTGGAGACCTGGTCACTCTGGTAAGGCCCAGCCACGTCAGCCCCTACAGGAAGCCCAGGGGCTCTGGCTCATGTCTTGGTTGCTCAGCAACCACTATGTCGTGCCCTCATCGGCACATTGAGGAGACACAGCCCCCAAGCCTGGGGAAGTGGGAGCGGAAAGAGAGATGAAGCCTGGGGATGAACCAGCGAGAAGCCAGGGCACCCCCACCTGCGGGGAGCCTCCTTTCTAACAGGGACAAACGGCAGCTCTGCCTCGTGTCTCTTGTAGGAAATTCGGGGGGACGAGTGTCCATGCAGAGACGCTTGGTGAGCCATCGTCAGTTCAGTGAAGCTCCCGCACCTCACGGGCTCTGGTTTCAGGGGCCGGCCCACCCTCCACTCTGATAAAGCAAACCTGGGGGTTGCTGTCTCTGGCCCCACCCCTCAGCAGGGGCCCCCACTCTGAGCAGTACATTCTTGGAAGTCCTCTGGCCTCTGGGGTTACAGCAGGTGCTGTTTCTGCATTGGCTGGAAAAACCAGATGCTACCATCCCTGGACTCCTGGCACTGCCCCAACTCCCCTGGCCCCCAGAAGGTAAGAGCCCAGCCCTGAGGAACCCTTACTAGCCCCTAGAGCTGGAGGTTTCCAGCCAAAAGGAGCAGAAAGCCTGGGCCTGGGACAAAGGGGCTAGGGTCCGGCCCCAGCCTGTCCTACCCCCACTGTGGGACCAGGGCAGGTTAGCTCACCTCTCCAGGCCTGGTTCTCCCATATTTAAAATGCTTAAAAAAAAGACCTGTCTCCACAGTATAATAATATTATCTACGAGACCAGACTTTATTTTTTTACACACTGAACCCCCCCATCCTCTTTGGATGGGGCAAAGCAAGGGGACGCAAACAAACCACCAGGTCAGGGCTAGATGGGTGCTGTGTCCATGCATGGTGGTTGGTGCAGTTTTGCCCATGTGCCAAGTCATGCTTTGTTGCTGATGACAGTACTTTGAACAGATCATGACATGACATGAACACGCATGCCCTGCAAAGGAGATGGATGACCATTTGTTATGTCTGCCCTGCCTGTCGAACTCACCCAGATCTCTCAAGGAGATTTGTGCACCTGTGTGGAGAAAGCTCTTCAAGGATGTTCACCAGAAGGTAGAGAGCAGTTGTCATAGCATATTTGGATGTTAGAGGATTTTCATGTTTTTAGTTCTAACTTTTAATATTATGAAAATTTTCCACAATTAGTGTCAACTTTGGACTTCCCCCAGATTTTATCTTCAAAAATAAAACAAGCGTCTGATGGCACCCAACCACCTTTCCATCTCCAGGGTCTGCATCCCGAGAAAGGAGGGCTTCCCATAAATAACAGACAGTGGACGATGTGGTGTCCAGCACACAGCTCCTTGAGGGGAAAAGGGCACCATGTGGGCAGCATGGCTTTCTTTAATGACAAATGAGCAAAGCTGACCACGGACTGAGACAGACCTCACCTAAATCAAGAAGGAAAGAAACATAAGGGGGACACTGTACTCCTTCTGGGGAAAAAGAAGGCATATCTCCTTCTCTATTAATAATTAAAACATGAAAAAGACACTTTCAACAAAGACAGGCCAGTGGGAGGGCAGAAGCGCACTCACCCGGGCTGGCGGCACGTAGGGCGACTCGGCCTCTGAGCACATGTGTGAGTCTGTGGAGAGCCAAGCAGATGAATGGAGGGTTATAATGGATCCAATTCAGTGACACCCCTGAGGTCTAGGAAGAGATCTTAAAAGGCCAATAAAGGCTCAACCTATCCTAAGGAAAAAAAATAGTAAGTATTTTTAGTGGGTGGGAAAGCTCTATGTACAAAGATGTTATTTGCAGTATTAATTAGGACAGGAAAAATTCAAACCACCTAAACGTTCAGCCGTAGGGAACAGTCAGTCTGAAATGTCTGCCCAATGCCAGAGCCCACAGATATTTAACAAGATGTGGGAAACCCACATCACGAAAGACCATGTCTGCTGTCTGTCATGTATAGGAAAACCACCCGACTCCCCAAGGGACTGGCCAATAGAATCATATCAACTAAAGACCACGATAGCAGACACATGGTGTGGCCACCATGACCGCCACGGTGTGACACATGAAGGGAAAAACACCTGGAAGGGGGCAGAACAAATGCACGCGGCAGTTATTTTAGGGATAAAAATACACGTATGTAAAAAAGCACACGGAGCAGCCAGGTGGGTGTGGAAGGGTGACAGGGACACAGAGCCTGGCCACAGTGTCGCTTCCAACCTGACAGGTGAGGTGTGAGAGTCCAAGACACCGGTCCAGGGCCCAGCACCCTGCCAGAGCCGCCGGTCATTCACGGCATGCCTGCATGCAGCCCTTCCCCCAGAAAGCCCTGTAGATGTTTAACTTGGGTACAGGGAGAGACCTCATGTGTGTTCGTTGCCAACCAGAGAACAGGAGTGCAATGCACGGGACGCGTCACTGTTCAGGGAAGACCCTCAGCCAGCCCACCGGGCCTTGCTGCCCAGATCCACACCCCCAGGCTGGGCCCTGACTGTGGCAGCGCTCCATAGTCCTGACACTCACTCGGGGACAGTGTGCACCTTGCAACCTCAGGCTCCCGCCCCGTCCTCTCCCAATTCCTCAAATGTGGTATCCAGGGCAGATCTGTCACCTCGTCCTCCTGATGTCTCTTTGTAAGGAGAGGACACGGTGGCTCAGGAACCATTTATCCCCAAAGCTACACAGTATGGACGGTGCAAGGGCCCAGGACCCCTTGATCAGCCAGGAAGAGCCAGCAGGCAGAAGAAGCCGAGAACACATCTTTGGGTCAGCCAGACTTGAGTTCAAGTCTCCTCTCCATAATGTGTCTGAGTCTCCACATCTGATCTCACAGGGTCACTGGGAGGATTAAATACACAGATCTGCCTTCAAGGGCTCACTATGGGATTACTGTGTCAGCTCATAGCCTGACTGTATATACTGATGCCAGGGCAGCCATAGCCAGAGCCCGGCAAGGTCATCCTGCTTGGTACAAATGCTCTCCTTCCCAAGGCCTCAGTTTCCTCATCAAGGGCTCTGATGGTTTGTCCTTCATGGGTCTCAGGCCTCTGTGGAGGGCACAGCCCAACCCCACCTGCAGCCCTTAGCTGTGTGGACGCTCGGAGCCAGACAAGGCCCTGGTCCTCAGCCTTGTCCACAGCCACAGGTGGGCAGCAGTGGATTAGTCCCTTCTCACACTGCTGGAAAGAGCTGCCCAAGACTGGTAATTTATAAAGAAAAGAGGTTTAACTCACTGACAGTCCTACATGTCTGGGGAGGCCTCAGGGAACTTACAGTCATGCTAGAAAGGGAGGTAGCCAGTCTTACACGGCAGCAGGAGACAGAGAATAACTACCATTTATAAAACCATCAGATCTCGTGAGAATTCATTCACTATCATGAGAACAGCATGGGGGAAGCTGCCCCCATCATCCAATCACTTCCCCCTCTAGACCTGTGGGGATTACAATTCCAGATGAGATTTGGGTAGGGACACAGAGCCAGACCATATCAAGCAGGGAGAGGTGAGCCCCAGTGGCTGGAGAGAAACACCTCCCCTGTCCAGGCCTGGGGGCCTGGCCTCAGCAGACGGTGCCCAGGCCTGCCGATTCCATGGACTCTGCATTGAGCAACAGCTCAGCAGCACAGCGGCCCGCAGGCCAGGCCCAGAGCTCCTCGGTGAAGCACCCTCCTAGAGCAGGAGAAGGACCACAGCTCGAGGCCCTGGTGCCAGCTGCGCCCGCCCCCCTCGGGTGCAGTTCCTTAGTGAATCACCCCACCCCACATTCCTGCAGGGCCTGGCCGCCCCCTACTCTGGCTGTTGGGGTCAGGCCAGGATTCTGCGGATGAGGCCGTGGTTCTGGGATGAGAGGCGGCAGCCCCACCATGGCCGCAGCAGCCATGGCCCCCTCCTCATTAGCTTGGGGCTCCCAGCTGAGCTGTCACTGGTGGCCCGGCGCCAGCGCCCGCCAGGCCGAGCTGCAATGACATCATCTTGGCCCGGGAGGCCGCTAAGTAGAAACAGACGGCAGCCTCCCTCCCAGTCCAGGAGCACCTCGGGAGGCACCCCGCGAGCAGCCCACCACTGCGTGGGCCCAAGGGCACAGAGGCGTCAGGACAGCTGCCCTATCACAGTCCCACCCAACCCAGCCATAACCGCTGTCTGCTTTGCCTCCCCCACTGGCTCGGCCCCATGAGGGTGGGCACGGTGCCCACCTTGCTCGTGCCATTTCCAGCCCCCAGCGTGCTGCCTGTGCATACTTGGCGCTGGGGAAATACCAAATGAAAGGCCGCCCCGCTGTCCCCGAGGACTTGGTGGGACTCTGACCCCCTCCCCCAGAGCCTTTAGGTGGTGCTTCCTGCCTGTCCAGGCTCCCTGAAGTCCCCACCACCCCCAGACATGAACCACTGCCTCTTGCCTGCTGGACGGGAGTGAGACGAGCCAGCAGCAGCTGGTGAGACAAGGGACAAGAAATCTACCTGCATGAGGTTCTGAGGCTCCATCCGCCTCCCTGACCTCCAATGTTCCCTCTGTCCACGTGGGGCGGGACCTGAGCTGGGTGAAGGCGCGGCAGGACCAGTTGGCGGGGGGAGCAGTTGCCGGGTGGGGGTGTCCTTGGGGCACAGGACACCCCTCAGGCCAGGGTTGGCACCAGCCAAGACAGAAAAGCAGAGCCGAAACGGGGCCGCCAGTTTTGTGGGGAGCCAGGCTGGGTTAGGGCCCCAAAGAATCCCATATTGCAGAAGGGGCCACCTATCAGCCAAGAGTGAGCTAGGCCCACACAGATGAGCCTCGAACCCACTGTGCTGAGTGAAGGCAGCCAGGTGCTGCACGACTCTACTTACACAAAGCGTCTGGAGTAGGCGAATCCACTGATACAGAAAACAGACTGACAGCTGCCGGGCTGAGGTGAGGGAGAGGAGGTGGGAGGGGAGGCAGGTGGCTGAGGTGTACGGGGGTGCCTCTCAGGTAACAGAAGCATCTGAAATTGATGGTGGAGACCGTTGCCCAGCTGTGAATATTCTCAAAGCCACTGAATTGTACACTTTAAATGGGTGAATTGTATAGTGTCAATTACATCTCAATAAAGCTATTTAAAAAAAAAAAAAAAAAAAACAGTCACCTGGTTGTTGTGTAGAGAATACCCAAGGACTGGGGCAGAGGTACCCGAGGGGCTCTGCTCCGAGGACCCCCCTATTTGTAAAGTACATTAAGACCGCCTGGTGGGGGCCAAGGGTGTTTGTATGACCCCTGTCTGCCTTTAAATGGGGCCTCCCCTGCTGCTAGTGGAGACGGACAGAGACCAACAGCTCACTCTTATCATCATCATTCTTACAGTTACTGTCCGTCTAATGCCTAAAGTGGAGGATCAAGCACTTGACTTGGGTCTCATTTGCCCCTTTAAGAACCTTAGACTGATGGTGTCATCGTCTCTTGTATAAATGAGGGAGCTGAGGCACAGAGGACCTCAGCCTAGGGCAGGGGTTAGGCAACCCGTCCAAGGACCCACAGCTGACAGACGGCCACGGGGCGGGCATGAGACCCGACACCAGACACTGAACCAGGCAAGGACCCACTGCACAGTAAGCAGCCGCAGGTTCTGTCGCCGTTCTCGGAGGCTGTCCGAGTATACTTTACAGAAAGAGCAGGGCTCTTGTACAAATATAAAATGAATACACATCAAAAATGTATGAGCTCTCTAACACAGAAACTCGTAAGATAGGATAAGCCCATTCCTGGAGCCGTATGAGGACTTGGAAGGGCATTCTGCCACGCCTTTGCCCAGTCAGAAGTAAAACTGGTTAATGTGCTACAAGGCAGTGGCCGTAACCCTTTTCTTTTCTACCAGATACAAATCTATGGGTTAATGTAACTTTACAAAGTCTGAATCCTTAATTAATAGGAAACAGCAAAGTCAAACACAGGCACCGTGCATGTCTCTACATAAGTAAATTCTCTTTGCGTGTCATACAATGCCCCAGGATGACTTGGAAAAGACACTTGAAAAAGGATGCTTTTTCTTTTCTTTCTTTCTTTTTTTTTTTTTTTTTTTTGAGATGGAGTCTCGTTCTGCCTCCCAGGCTGCAGTGCAGTGGCACAATGTTGGCTCGCCGCAAACTCTGCCTCCTAGGTTCAAGCGATTCTCCTGCCTCAGCCCCTCGAGTGGCTGGGATTACAGGCACATCCCAAAACACCTGGCTATTTTTTTTTATATTTTTGGTAGAGGCGGGGTTTCACCAAGTTGGCCAGGCTGGTCTCAAACTCCTGACCTCAAGTGACCCACCCGCCTCAGCCTCCCAAAGTGCTGGGATTACAGGTGTGAACCACTGCACCAGGCTAGATTATTTTTCTTAACAGGGGAGAGAGTGGGGCTAAATCACAAACACCGCATCAGATCTGGAAACACAGCCCACTCGCTACCTTCTACCAAAAGTCTGTGTGGAAACTGGAGGCCGCTAAGCCCCATCCCTGCCTCCCGTGAGCAGTGCACAAAGAGACTTAGTGCCTTCATTTATCCACCAAGCATGACCTGAGCAGCTACTGGGTGCAGGCATGGTGTGGGTGCCGAGATGCCTGTGAGCCTCCACTGTACAGGAAGTTGGACAAGCAGGTTCATCCGGGAAGACATGCTAGTTTCCCATGGTGAGCCACAGCAGTAAAGAAAGAAGGAGAAGGTGGAGGTCAGAAAAGAGCTGACGGGTAGGGCAGGGGAGCTGAGAGGGCTCTCGGCGGACCTCTCTACAAGACAAGATTG